GTAGTTTGCGAGTAACTGGGTCAAAGCTTGACTCGAAATTAGTTTGACTGAATTCGAGCTCAAGCTATTTATTTCGTGTAACGAGTCGAGTTTGAGTATCAATAGTAATTATTTGAGTGTTCGATGAGTTTAATTCGAGTATTTATGTTATTTATATATTCTATATTTTAATTATGTAATGAATATTATGGGTTTGTATTTTAATAATTTTACATGAAGTATGTTTAATAAAAAAAAAGTGATAAATGACAAAATAATTATATGATAAATCTAAAATATAAAAAATTAAAAACAAGAAAAGAAAAACTCGAGTTCGATTTTGATAGGGTCAACAGTTTACTCAATCTCAAATAAATTGACTTGAAATTTAAATTTTATTATATTAAATCGAGTTCGAATTCAAATTAATATACTCATTCGAATTTAAAATCGATTAACACGGATAGCGACCGAATTCAAGCACAGTGTAACTTGAATTCGACTCGGCTTAATAGCACTTTACTCATCTAAGATTACTGAAATACAATCAGATAGATATTGCCGGACTGGTACAGTTGTACATCACCAGGCGTCAGCAGAACCAATCAGAGTTGGCCCCCTCCACGTCACCAAACGACCCCACATGGCGTCAATGCAGCAGGATCTTATATCCTTCCATCCCCAGCCCCCAGGAAATTTTCTTCCGCTTCAAACTCAAATAGGTACTAGAGTATTTATTTCGAAATTTTAAGTTCCCACCCAAACACATCATCCACGCATCACATGACGCCACGCACTCCCCCAGGGTCAATCGCAGCCATTGGCACCACCTGGCACTGTCGGGCAATGCGGGCAAACATCAGAAACATGCAGGCCTTGAGATCAAACTTCAACGGCTGAGATTCTGCCCGATCTGCAGACCTGCAGATCTGGCTGCCTTTAAGAAGCGGTGATCCTCCTCCTGCTTTCTTCGTTCAAGCAAGGAGGGTCATAGAAACCCTCGCCTTTTAATAATTTTTTGCCTTTTTTTTGGTTTAAATATCTTTCCATTTTGATTTTCTGAACACATTTCCCTCCAACAAATTACTAGCTTTCGACTTTCCGGCCAGCGGCGGTTAAAATTTCCGGCTTTCTAGCCATGTGTTCCCGCCATTTTTTGGTCGGAGATTGACCGCCAGGGCGAAATTTCTTGAGCGACCCGTTTGATTTGAAATTCAATCCGCTTATTTTTTTTGGCTCCCGCCTCATATGGCTTCCGCCGTCTTGCCCAGCCGAAATGAGTCCTATTGGGCTGAACGCGAGGTTTGTATGAGGCAATTTCCAAACAACCGCACGAATCATCCCCATTTCTACCCGCGGTTGAATCCTAAACCTCATCCTAACCCTAGCAGGTTTCCAAACCCCATTTTCAACTCAAATTTCAACGTTAGCCGGCAAATCATTGATCTTACAGCTAAAACTGGTCTCCGGCAGCGCAATGAACCATCACCCAGGCCTCCTTTCCTGCCACCTTCGGCGTCGATCAATGATCCGCACTCCTTTAACCGGAGTGCAGATGGGCCTCTTCTATCCAAGGATCCGTTTCACCGAGAGTACGTGACATTCAAAGCGTCATCGTACTCGAAAAGAGAGCTGAAAGAGCTGAAAAATCGACTAATCTCCGACCTCGAACGGGTTCGGACCCTATTGACCCGAATACAGACCCGGGAGCTTGAGTTTAGACCCGGTTTTTGTAGGGCCCTATTCAGGCCGCCTGCTGTAGAAACAAATCACATACCAGTGAACCTTACATCAGATGAGAAGCAGAACCAAAAGAACCGGGCATCCGGGTCAGTGACCCGAAAGGGTAAGGGCAAAAAGAACCAAAAACTTTCGGGGCAAAAAAGGGCTCTTGCTTTAGGTGATGCTCGAGAAACAAAGCGGCCGTTTGTGATCCCAACTTCATCAGAGGCCGAGAAGGCGTCGGAAACGGTGATGAAGAAATGTAAGCAGATTTTGATGACACTTATGAAGCAAAAGCACAGTTGGGTTTTTAATAAGCCCGTTGATGTTGTTCGTCTAAGGCTTCATGATTACTTCAAAGTCATAAAGCATCCAATGGATCTTGGGACTATCAAGTCTAATTTCAACAAAAGGGTGTACAAATCACCCCTTGAATTTGCTACGGATGTAAGGCTGACTTTTAACAATGCCATGAGATATAACCCCAAAGGGCAAGATGTCCACGCAATGGCGGAGTCTATGCTTTGGAGTTTTGAAGAAATGTTTGAGCCCGTGTATCAGGAGTATGAAACCGGACATCGAAAACTGGCTGCTGAGAAGATGAACGAAATTACCAACTGGGTTCAGCTGGAACCGGTGATTGCGATGCCACAACCGATATTGTTGAGTTCGCCTTCATGTCAGAATGAGCAGATTCTGTTGTCTCCTGGATTGCAGAGTACAAGCGGGAAATTGCCAAACCCAAAAGCCAAGGATTCGAACAAGAGGCAAATGAGCAATGAGGAGAAGTCTAACTTGGGGTTGAATTTGCAGAATATGCCGCAGGAGAAGATGGAGCGCGTGGTGCAGATTGTCAGGAAGAGGAATCCTCATTTGGTGCCGGACGGAGATGAGATTGAACTTGATTTTGAGGTTCTTGACGATGACACTCTTTGGGATTTGGATAGGTTCGTGAGTAATCACAAGAAAGCTCTGAGCAAGATGAAAAGGCAAGAACTCGTTGACGGTGCCAATTTGATCGAAGAAGGACCCAAGGTAACGAATAAATGCCATAAGTTTGATATAATAAAGATTTTGACTTGTTTTAATTGGCTGATAATTCTTTAGTTATGGTAACAGTCTCCAGTTAGTGAGCCTTGTGAGGTGGATGTTGAACAGAACAACAAAGAAGATGCAGGGGAAGAGGATGTTGATATTGGAGAGGACATTCCAGCATTTGACTTTCCCCCTGTGGAGATTGAGAAGGATGTGGAGGTTGAGAAGGGTAATGCTGCTGCCTCCGTTCTGGAGGTTGAGATTGAGGACTGTGCTGGAGCTAATGGTGGATCCCGCAGCTCTAGTGGCGCAAGTTCTAGTAGTGATGATTCTTCTTCTGATGGTATTCTATTCTGCATTTATGTTTTTCTTTTGGCATATATAGTCCACAGAGACTGATGTTGGTGTTTGATACAATGTGTAGATTCAGATTCAGATTCTGGTAGTTCTTCAGGGAGTGATGATTCTGACGAGGATAGTGTACAGTCGCCTTATGTTGAAGCAAAAGGAGTCCCTGCAGCTTAATTCTGTTAATGGGTATGTGAAGATTTCAAGTAACAATTAATGGAAAAGTGAATGGAATTGAGAGGGTTTGAAGTGTTGGCGTTCTATCTTTGTTGGCTCCCCTTTTTTTTTTTTTCATTTCTGGGTTTGTGCATTTTGGTAATGGAGGAGAATTAAGGTAACTGTGGTTCTGGCTTTGGCATTGCTTGGCTCAAGCTGTAGCATTTTGTAAAAAGGATGGCCAGAATGTTACTTTAGGTTAGGATAACCGAGACATTAGTTAGACGTGACTGAATTAGGGTGTTACAGCGGAGGGGTATAGTCAGAGAAGTTGGGAAGAACTGAACGGTAGAAAGATAGCAGTAGCATTACTGAGTTTGGTAAAACTCTTTTTGATTTCTATACTGAATCACCACACGATTTTTAGTGGTGGAGCAGCAAAAGCAGTAAACATGTACAGGGAGTAGTGTACTCTGACTGGAAATATGCAAATGTAGTTCTCTCTTCAAAGATCTTACAGAAGAACCCTTTTGGCTTCCTTGAATTCTAATTAGCTGTTTTTAATAGCGTTCCAAACTCGTACTTAAATGAAATGAATGCCTTAAACGAGTAGTTTTCTTAAATTGGAACTGTTTGCAATCTCATGATTCAGAATCCAGAAATTATCAAGTCTAGTCTGCTTCTGTGCAAATATTGTTCAGGATGCTGTGTTACACACATGCTTGAATCTTTATCTTGATTAATTATGGTTTCCCTGAGTCAAAGAAGGAAGTCATGAAAGCAAAATGATACAAACATGTTGAGTATCCATATATTTCAAATGTGATGCATGGTATATGTTGGTGACTTTTTAAGTTGAGATACCTCAATAAGAATGTTTAGCTTTGCTCGAATTGTAATCCTTGGCTTCACAAGCAATTGAAGCTTAACCCAACAGTATTCCCTGTCAAGAATTTGTTATTACGTGTTAAAAGTACGCAAGTGAGAGTAAAACATATTATAGTATTATTCTTATTACAGGAGGACAGAAGGCAAAAAAAAAAAAAAAAAAAAAAGTCGGGGGGGAGGGGGGTGGGGAGCATGAAGGAAATCCAGAACTGCAGATCAGAATTCAACCGGCAACTTTGCACAACTCCGATAGCCACCAACAAAAAGGAAATGCCAAGAAGCACGATGGCCAGCAAGCATGGGCAAGACGTTAAGAGATTCAAGTTGCCATTGATCTACCTTAAATTTTTCATTCAATGGAGAAAAAGGTAGATCAAAGGTACTACTGTCTTGCCACCCAGTTCTCTTCAGCTAAGAAGGGGGGGGGGGGGGTTAAGGGTTAGGTTATTAGTTCGTGGCCTCAAGAGTTGTCGGCTTTTGAGGGCTTTTGAGGTTTATCTGGGATTAAGGGTTAGTAATTTAATTCTGAATTTTTCGTTGAAAGTTCTCTTCAGCTAAAGACAGGCAGTTGGATGGGCCATTAAGCCAATTGACGTCCTTCGGCGAGTCTCTTCAAAGAGAAGACACTAATGACAACAATCTCAATTTACATCTATTCCAAATTCATTCGTTTACAGGCATAATCCAATCAATAAAAGCCAACGCGAGTACCCAATCTTTTCAGACAATTCTGATCACCCCATCAATGAACAGAAACGCAGCAACTTCCACTCCTCCAGTTATCTTATTTCAAGGGGTCCAGTATGTGGTAAGAAACATCTAATGCGTAAAACATGATATGACTGAGAAATAAGAGCACCGCACCGCAAACCTGAACTAAACAAAACTCATTTAATAACCAGGACAAGCAACGCCAACTTCAGTTGGGGCTTAACCTACACAATAAAGAGATTGCAAAAACTGCTGTACTTCCTTTAATGAATCTAAAGCACAATACAGAGAGCTAGCTACTTAAGATCAATTGGGGAGGTACATGATGAACTAGCTAGCTGATCACTGTAAAGATAGAAGGAATGAATTGCGAGAGCATGAGAAAAGCGAGCTCTTCAGAAGCAGTCATTCGCAAGCGATGCCATAAATTTTCGCAAGTCTAACTTCCAATGCCAATATGAAAGCTCCTAAAAAAGTTGGTCATAAATTTTCATATTTCACAATGATCCCCTCCACCTTCTGAAAATACATGATGAACGTCCAGGGCATCAGGAACTTATTTCTCCATTACGAAGTCGAAGTACTCTGGAAACCAAACAACACTACCATGTTTGTACTCTTTCCTGAACTATGTCACTCTGATGTTGAAATTCTGCAATTGACTTTGACATTATACTACAACACTTCATCCCCTGCAAAGCTCATCCAGTATATAGACTTCCTAGTTTCAAAGTTGCATTACATCAAATTCTTCATCCCCTGCGTGGTTGCCTGTATCGCATTAGGACCCACAACTTAATTTGGTCCCACGGCGTCAAAGAAAACTTGGCGAAAGAAATAAAGGTAACAGGCGAGTCTTGCACACTGGTGCAGGACAGAAGACTGGTGCAGAAGGATTTTCTTAGAGAGAGCCAAAAGTGCTGGGGAGAGCTAATGCTGCAGCTAAGAACCCGTCATTAAATGGTGGTGATCTGAAAACCGGTCTTGATAAAACTTTTGCCATGTCTTCCTTTAATAAACTCCTCATACCAAGATGCGGAGGAAACTTTTTGTTCCAAGATAATCCATTCTCTGTTTTTGTTAATTGCCCTCTTTAGTAATTTCAAACTCAAAACAGGATTTTAGGGCAGTCAGCTCTCCAGAAGTGTTGCCACTCGATTTATGCTTTATTTTGGTCTTACCAAAATAAATTTAAATAAGAATAATGCTTCTTTAACGTCTGTTAACATCTTTTCAAACCTTTCTTTATCCACTATGGAGTTGCAGAAAGGAATTATCTCGGATGCTGTTATGACCATCTGTGTATTCCACGTAAGAAACAATCAGAAGCTAGTCGGGTCGAATGATTTCTTCAATTGTGAAAACATACTGTTCAATCTCAAGACCCAAATGGTCACGTCAATATCATTTAATGCAGAAGAGTTTAAAGGAATGTTCCCAACACCTGGCAAACTGAAAATAGAGACTGGTGAATGGGAAGCGCTCGTTCACATACTCACACAGTTAACATTACATCAAGATCAGGTTCAAAACCCCATCTGATTATGATAACAAAAAGTTTTCACCTTTTACTTTCACTGTAACCCTCCTATTCTCTCTCTCTCTCTAATTTAGAGCTCGCTTTGGGATCACAATTTCTCAAACTCAGCAAGACTCACTTTTTATCCAATTCTTTCACCAGACTCTGAAATGAAGCTTTCATTGACCCTATTTCAATCAAATTAAGTTTTTAAGTTCGTTAAGTGGTGGGGTGTCCATAGGTGGTGAAACACTTCTAGCGCTGCATCACCTGGTCCAGTTTCTTCACAGGAACTAAAGTACGGGACCCTGTGAAGACCATAACAGAGGCTTCTATTATTACCAAGTATAATTGTACATTTGCACACACAACTATAAATCCTTATCCAGAGAAGGTGTCCGAGGTAAGATTCCCACAATTTCTTGAGAAGTGTGCATATAATTAACTTTGATCATCCATCTTCAAGTTGAATTAATTGGGATTGTAAATTGCAGTTTGCAGTCACATCTGCTGTTGCAGAGGGCCCTGAAAACCAGGCATACAACTCTTTGTGCGTAAGAATTATATATAGACACCCAAGGACTAACGCTCAACCATCCAGAGCATTTTCTCGAAACCCTCTAGAAGGAAATTTCTTCAATTCATTGAGATGAAGTAGGATCACTTGTATAATCACAATAAGTCTGGAAGGACAAAAACTGCCTCTAAATCAATTGGCTAAGTGTACATATTATCCAAGTTACTGGTCTTTCAGTATATTGTTGCTTCCATCAGCCAAAAGAGTAGTACAAGAACTCATTCATGCTCTCAGAAAACCTTTGATAGTTTGGTTCTGCATTCAGGAAACACTTTATTTGTCTTCATAAACAAAGGCGTTTTGGCACTTAATAGCTGCATAGGAGGGCCAAATGCCTCTAATGAAAACTGACTAGCAAAAAGTAAGTAGGCAACAGCATTCCCTAGCGCATTCAGAGAGTGGCTAATTAAACCATCTGAAGAGTGGACGGTCAAGGGATTCTTAGCTTTGACAGAATGATCTCCACTCCTTGGGTGGTACTTGACCAGCTATTTTCCTGACTGACTGTTATCTTTGACTCTTTAACTCATTATTTTGCACAATATGTGCTAGGCTGAGCATTATGCTCCCTTAAGACTATCTCTAGTCCAAAGAACATTCAAAGACCTGCTAACATGGAATACTAACAAGTGATAGATAGTAACTCTAACCGGGGATGTTATACTTGCTAAATATGCTAGTGTGCCAATCCATGACCAAATCTAGCAACAAAGCTAAGCAAACCGCATTTGGAACTGGCTAGATATTGTAAAGATACTACACTTAGCAGCCAGGGAAAAACTGTTTAATCTCCAGTTTTACGGGTAACAAATTGGTTTTCTTCAGGCGGTCCCTTAAATTGTGCACCAAATGCTAAACTTAAAAACTTCAAGTTGCAAGCCATTTACAAATCTATTCTATTCCAAATTCAGCCTGTTCTTAGTCTATGCTTATCCTAATTTACACTGCAATTTTCTACTTCTAATCTGAATTACCCAGTAAATCAAAGATATCATTTTTGTCTAAGTTTTTCAATGATTCCGTTCATGTCGAATGTGGCTTTATAGGTTGCAGAAAAGAGGATGAAATTAAAACAGCAAAGTTAGCACCAACTAACACGACGAAATTCCTAGCACTCCATGAATTTGCCTTTGAGACATATTCAAGCACAGTCCATTAGATTCCAGTTAAAATCACAGGCTAGAGGTGCAGTAGAAAATGCTATGACTTCAGCTGGTTCATGGTTGTGCAGGGCAATTTCTAATAGGTATTTGTTCAGATGAACAAACTAGAAAATCAAGCTTTGGGAGCAGAAAATCTCACATGAATCATAAAATGCATGTGCTGATAGATAAAAGCCGAATAGCAAATTTTAATTGCTACAAGAAAAAAGAAGAGAAAAATCCTACCATTTTTGTTGGGTTGTACTCTTCAAGGACAAAGAGGACACCGGTAACGCGACGCTTGAAGACTACCTGAACCAAAATTACCCATCATTTTCTAGCTCAGAAACAGAAGAAAAACTGAGCGAGGAATCAAGGATTGAACCTGCAAGCACGAGAGTTCTTTTCATCACATCTGAACATAATCAACAAGTTCAGATAGAGATGCGCTGAGAAAAAGGAATCCCATATCTACCATAAGTTAGATAGAGCTGAAAAGGAGATCCAAGATTGCAGTTTGACTGCTTTAACAAGTTAACTACATCTATTTCAACACTAACAGTATAGTCTTGGAACATGTTCACACTGTTTAAGATAAACCCCCTCTGTTTCTAGGACAGAATATAAGGTGGGTATTAATGAGAAAGCTTAATGACAGCTGTTTTCTTCTATGAGATCCAAATCACAGATTTTTGAGGAAGCGCACATCCACAAGAAGGGTCACTTTGTGGGAGCAAATATACGTATGCAGGTGGGAAAGTGGATTCTGATGGATGGCTCACACTTTCACCAAACAAAACAAAAAGAGAAGATGCAGGGGTCCATGGCCTTGAAATCTCCTCATCTTTAGTTTAAATCATAGAGAAGTTTATTTTTGTACTGAGGCAATGAATAATATGTTATTGGAGCATGCTTATTACATCAAGGCATTGATTAGATTCTGGTGCGAGCAAATGTAGGATTGAGTTGGGATCAAAAGCTACGCCCGGGAAATTCAAGATAAAAGTAGAGAAGCTCCCAAAAGCATAACGTAAACGACCCACTTGCTACGTACTCCGGACACTCAGGGCTGCTTTTGTAGTTATCATGGGGGAGGATGGGAATCCATCTAGCCGGCTAGTGCACAATGAATTATAGTTCACTTGGGCCAAAACAGAGAACATACTTTGCCAAGTTGAATTCCCACAGAAGTACTATATCACACCATATATGTTACGTTACAACATACGTTGAAATCATCCCTTCATCTCCCTTTCTAAATTTCACTTCTTCTGGGTTAAAAAAACAAATCATAATATACCTCTAAAAAGCGAATGCAAGTCAATCAAACATAAATTTCAACCATGCAAAAATGGGTTGGATGCAATCACAAATCAAGTTGGATTCACCAGTCACATTCTTCTTTTTTTTTTTTTTTTTTTTCCTTTTGCTTTTATTTAAGGAAATCGACCTTGATCATGTAGCTAATTCTTGGAACATAAGTTGTTATTAATTTTTTAATTATGGTTAAAAAAAAAAAAAAGAAAGACAGAAGGCAAGAGAGAGGGTTTGAGAGTTCACAACTCTATCGTCTTATGCTAACACATTTAGCCCACAGAGGACAACTGTTTGTTTGACCATCGGCTTTAGGCCCTTCTCATTGAAGCCTGAAGGAGAGTTTGTGATCCAGATAGTCGACAAATGCCGTCATCATATCGATTTACATTTGACTAATGGACTTGCAAATTTCAGCACCGTGACCCAGAATAGACCGCCATCAAAATGATACAATCGCCGAATTTGTTGACAAGTTCATGATATGGACGCTCATGGTCATGGATAAGAAAACAACGAGAAGAGAAATCACAGGAGTATTACATACACAATACATGCATACACAATAGGAAGATGGTACTTCTTATCGGTATTGGATAGCTAGTTCGTTCTCACAGTTGATTGCATTCGTACAAATCCAGTCCTTCATTAGACTTCACATGCAGGATCACAGAATAACTCAGCATTTTAGTATAGCACTGTTCTCGAGAACAAGCAGTCTCAAGATATCCAGTAAATTATTTGAGCTAGACTAGAATTTCTCAAGCACAACCTGCCAATCATCTTGCTGGTGTTGATGATGCCCAAATTTCAAACAACTAGGACTTCTTCATGATTGACAATGCAGTCATTACCAGCGTTATATGTGTGTATCTACTAACTCGTTGCCCGAACGACTACCGCAACCACCACAAGCACCAGCCTGGACACCGGCTGCACCCGCAATCTTATTCCCACAATTACCACCACAGCCTCCTCCACAACCACTAGCATTCACGTAGGGCGCACCACTGATCTTATTGCCACAACCGCCACCGCACCCCCCACCACAGCCTCCGCTCTTAATCATATTACCACAACCACCCCCACAACCTCCACCACATCCCCCACCACATCCTCCACCACAACCGCCACTCTTTAGCACATTCCCACAATTAGCACCACATCCTCCACCACATCCCCCACAACCGCCACTCTTTAGCACATTCCCACAATTAGCACCACAACCACCACAAGCCCCACTCCTCACTTCACTGCCACGCCCTCCACTACAGCCACCACCGGATGCTCCTCCTTTCCCCATTGTAATTGCATTTCCTTGCGAGACCTCAACATCTAACTTCCCATCTTCTTGTACTGTAGTTGGAATAGTTTTGCTGACATCCAACGGACATTTGCTAACTTCTTTATCTAAAAATTTGTTTTCCTCCAAATTCTTGCCGCTGGAATTAATGCTGATATATCCCTCTTTTCTCAGTATCTCACCAAGTATGAAAGCCAGTACCAGACCAGGAAACAGCAACCACTCTTCATTAATCTATTTTTTCAACAGAAGATGCCGAGCATGGTAAGGCAAGGCAAGTTGAAAAGTCTTCACCTCAAATCTGTATAAACATTCATAAAGAATATAGTTTACCTTGACAGTTCCAGATTTGAAATCAAACAATGCCAATGCCTTGCCATAGGGGTCTTCCACAGAAAATTCAACTGCTGTCAGAAAGTCACGATCATTCCTTTGCTTCTCACAGTGCTTTGGCTCATATTCCAGCTTTCTACCAGGAAATAGTTTTACCTGTACCAAGCATGGAAAAGGTACGATGGATGCATGGTAAAAACTATAAAAACATCTTTCTGCCACAGGTTGAATTACAAAAGGATGTACCCTAGGTCTTATCTCTTGCTTACCCTCCAATTGTCACGTTTTTCCAAGCGATTCTTAAAGAGATCATATTTCTTAACTCATTCTTATATGAATCCCTAAGAACATTCCAAAAGGCTAAAACATAAAGACATATGGTATTTTTATTTTTCATTTTGGCACAGAGAAGATGGTTGTTTTTCATGGGATTTAGCTTAGCTAAATAGGTAATGGATTCTCTGTTCTTTGTTAATATCTTTGGTGTAGGAAAGAGCAAAAGAAAAAGCAGAGTGAAAAAAAAAGAAACTGGAAAATCTGAGGCTGCAATTTCCCTCAGGTATCATCGAAAAGAGCTAAACATATGAGAAGTTTTAATTTCTAGAAACTTGTATATAATCAACTATGAAGAGAGGCAAATATCATGGTAAAGCAAAGGAAATCACATGATTGTGCAATTCCAATGTATCTGCACTGAAACACCTGGAAAAAGGATAAATGCTTACTCTACGATCACCAATCAGCTCCAGAAGATATCCATCTTCATTGACAGTCCCTGGAAGCTTGACAGACCAGTTGGAATCTATCAGCAACCACTCTGTCCCAGTAAACTCTGCAACCCTGTTTGTGCCACCAGATTTTATGATGCCAATCACCTCTTTTTTCAACATGGAATCATTCTTTTCCTTTGACTTCTTGAAATCCCTAGAATAAAATAATGACTTATTTCAGATTATCTGCAGCACAGTTGAAATTCAATAAATGGAGAAACAAATAGTACTCATACTATCAGGACACCGTAGTTTTGCATCTTTAGTGAAGTTGCAGAATATAATACAAGTAAGAAGAATGAAGATACGCTTATGATAAATCTCAAAGCAAAATCTTCAGGATCTGCCAAGCATAGTATCTGGAAGAATCAGCATTGACAAGCTCAAAAAGTTCCATCAGACAAGTTTAATCAGTCAGTTCCTGGGCCAAAGTTCATGTAAACACATGTTGCAGCACAGTGTATGTCTTTGAATTTATTCTCAGTTAAATGCCAATATGAAGAAGACAATCCATGGGATGAACACAAAATTGGAGGTTAAATGCCAACATGAAAAATATAATTGTATGAGATGAAGTACAAAGCCAAAGAACTTGAATACTTGCAATATGTAATGGCAAATGATTTAAGGAATTTCTAATAATATGTACAAAGTGGAATTCCTTTTTTTAGTGGAGAACCTAGGCCCTTGTGCAGAAAGAAATTGTAGATGCTCCATAAACAGAAGAACTGTCACAAAAACAGCAAATGTTTTAAACTCATACCTCATTTGAAGGCTGATGACTTCTTTGCCATTGTCATCAATGATGCGAGTCCAGCTCTTAGCTAGATGTACCCTTCCTGGCAATGGGAAGAAGCAAGAATTTTTCGAGAATGGTAGTGAACGAATCAAGTGAAAAATGTGAGGTGCATTGGTTGGTACAGTAGTTGAAAGGGCAACTCGTAAGTAGATAGGCTTCGAGCTCAAATAATTAGAACTAGGTAACAACTCCAACCATTTTTCCATGGTAAGATTAGATAATGGGGACAATGAATCTTCCAGAGATATGGAACAGGAACCCAGAGTCTTGGCTGGCTTCGATATCGGTAAGTTGGAAGCTGAGTGGCACATAAGTTCAAAGAACAGATTCCCAGTAGGTTGACATTGAAAACAAGCAACCTGTTTCTCCCCAGCCTGTGACAAAATAGTGAGACTTCTCTTGGCGTTGAAGATTGTGTCAGGCTGAGTCTTACTAAATGAGACAGAAAGGCCTCCCTTATGTCCCTCGCTAAGGTTTTTCACATCCACAAACTCCAGCATTACCTGAAACAATTTAGAGATTTATTTTTCTAGGTCAAAGATTAAGTACAGAAAAACAAAGGCACCATGTGAACGTACAATGACAAATAACCTGGTTAAATGACCGCAAAAGGCCAATCCACCCCCAAGTTGGGAGCTTAGCCGAAGTCAAACTCTAAGGTAAATAACACCCCAAATATGCAAAAGGTGGAAAGATAGTTACACAAACTCAACAAGCTCAAACAGCATACACCACATGCCATTAGAACTATTAGACCACGTGATTAAATCCATACAAGTTAAGCTATCTGCAAGTTGGAGTGCAGGACTACAAGTTGCTCTCTTTCTCTCTCACGTCGGTCTGTGTGAGAATGTGTTTTTGTGAGACTGTTTTGGGTGGGTGGTTGGCTTCCAATGTTGACACCATTTGAATCACAGAATTTTGGGTAACTCCAATTACTGGTTCCTAGCAAGGTGATTCACTTTTACCAAATTCCATATGTTCCTTAAACACCAGACTCCTCACATCCTGCCAGTGCCATCATAGAAATATATCCAATACATACTACACAGATATGATGGCAGGTTGCAATGTGTGTTGTGTATATGCATATGAGTTGATGTATAAACTGTTAAATTAGCATAATCAGGAAGAGAAAAGGTTCATTCAAATTACCTCAACAGCTTTCAATTCAGAGAGATGCATTATTTTCTGATTCTCTTTTGATGGATAGTCCTTCAAATCAAGAGATGGATATGGAGTAGTCCTTAGAGGTAAAGGGGCATTGCCTTTGTGCATTGCCCCTGCTCTCCAATATCTTACACCATACATCTCTTCCCACTGCTCGGTAGTTCCAGAAAATCCAACATCCAACTTCTTCCCTTTTGTTCTGTCTGAATCTGTGTCATCATGCTCTAATACCTTCCCCATTATTTCCACAAGGTCTTTGCAATAAGA